GATGTAAAGTATAGGAAATGGAGTAGCCAAAGAACTTATACACCTGACCCGTGGACATGAACAAAGGGGTAGAGATTGCCCGAGGGAGTGGGGGTACTGGGTGGAGGGGGGCAAAGTAGAAAAAAATCAGGACAATTGTAACAGCATAATCAATAAAATACAATTTTAAAAAATCCCCAATCTTCATAACAACCCTAGAAGGTACATATTATTGTTCCTTTTTATTAAAGACATTGAAGTTTACAGAGGTCAAGTGATTTTTTTCAAAGCTACACAGCAAATAAGTGTAGATTTTGAATTCAAATCAAGGTCCTTGGTAATTCCTGATGCATTTAAACTATACTGGACAAAGTTCTTTATTAGGGTATTTAAAACACAGCAGAAAAAAGAGCTCAGAAAGAAACTGGACCCATAATAGCAAACAATTATATATTTTTTTCTAATTTTATATATATATATTCATCACTATCTTGTGATTTTGGTGTTAGCTCATTAATTCACCAAACATATCCAGAGTCTACCGTGTCAGGCGCTGTGCTAGATGCTGAGGATACAATGACTAATGGGATCTGGTTCCCAGCCCTTAGCTACTCCCATGAGAATTTGCTAGCAGGCCTTCCTGGTCTGGACCCTTTTCATCTGTTGCACCCTGAGAAATATCTAGTCTATTTCTTCATCCTGTGCTGCTTTGCACCCAACTTTTTCATTTCAAAGCTGATAACACATTTATTATTAACTCACAGCAGCTTCCTGGAGTGTTGTTTTAAAGATTATAACTCTATATCTGGAATCAGCGGCAAAGAGTGCAGTAACTACTCATGCCTGCTATGGGGGCAGGAGTGAGAAATGAAGGCAAATAAGCCATGTGCTTGTCATACCTGAATTAGTTGTCCGGAATGATCTGTTTCTCTCTGCAGTTGTTATATATTATACCAACTGTATGTTATGGCTTGAACTCACCATTCCTTAAACTGCTCATAAGCTATTCACCTCTTGAGAAGCCCTGGAGTAAAGAAATCCATTTAACTTGATTGAAACTCAGTTTCTCAAACATGTTTTGTCCAAGGAATCTTGTCTCTTCTTTATTGTTAACTGCACATAGCTCCAGTTCTATAAGTATATTCACCGTGACTGCGAGTGTCTTTGATTTCCCAGTGTTGTAATAGTGACTTTTGTTGGGAAGGAAAAGTCCTGGGCTGAATGCTACTCTGTTCAATGGAAGCCCTTTATTCATTAAATTTTTCCTCTATCTTGCTATTTTTTTTAATATTTTTATTTCATTTATTGCTAGACAGAGGGGAAGAAAGGGAGAAAGAGATTGAGAGAAACATCAATGTGTGGTTGCCTCCTTGGGCCCCCGACTGAGGACTTGGCCTACAACTCAGCATGTGTCCTGACTGGGAATCGAACCAGCAACCCTTTGGCTTGCAGGCCAGCACTCAGTCCACTGAGTCACCAGCCAGGGCCTATCTTCCTATTTAAAAGTCCTCTTGCTACCACAGCTGGAGTTAAAAATGGTCATTGGTTGCCCATCTGGATTTTTCATGATTGCCTTTTTCAAGACTATATACAAATGAGTTCTTGTATCTCTGGGATACATTAGAAGGTAGTTTTGTTCATTGTGTTTGTTGGCTGAAAGCCATGCTCATTAATGAAAAACTTCCTCTAAGACGCTAATTCCCAGATGGCTGTGGCCTCGTGAGAAATACATTTGAATTGCCTGGCAGGTTTCTCTTTGATCACTAGCGGTCCCCTCTCCTGCCACAGAAGGTAGGGAGGTGGTGAGAGCTGTGCTACATGTGGTGCAGTCACAGAAAGGGTATTGCATCTGGAGCCACCAGCTCTGGGCACAAGTCTCCGCACTGTTCCTTGGTCGATACGTGTGAACTTGAGCCAATCACTTAAACTCTGAACATGAGTTGACTTAACTATAAAATGATGATTCTAACAACAATTCTGATTCCCTACTTTAGGGAGATTTTGAGAGGGCTACGTGAAACGACATATAGAAACCACCTTTGCAAAAGCATGTTTTTATGTTTAGGTGTCTGGGTTTACATTTGTCCCTGTTCTTTTTTCCATTGTTCTTGTCTTAGCCAGAAACAATATGTGAAATAGGGTCTTTCTGGCAGCTTTTCCATATGTGCTCTTTATGAGAAGCTAGTAGACCAAACACCTGATTCTAAGTCCAACTTGATTTGGGGGTAGACGTCCTCTCGTTTTTTTCTTTCACACTCCTTTTGTTCACCATTGTTCATAGATTTTGAACTTAGTGTTGACCCTAACTCATAAATTATATCTCAACGTTAATACCTTTTAACAAGTCTGTGAAGAGAAGGAAAAAAGAGTTGTTCTCCTCTCCCTCAAACCTTTAAAGAAATTTAGTTGAATAAATGCTTCAGCTAGCTGAAGCTCTGGGAGAAATGAGAACCTGAGGGCAAAAGTGGTAGAGTGTTAGAATAGAATTTCTTAGTGGACAAAATGCTGAGGGTCTATACTCTGTGCCTTAACGGAATGCAGATGTGAGCAGTTACAAAGTGGGACCCCCTTACATACGGCACAGCTTTCTGCCATCTCACTGGCTCTGTTTCACTTGCTCTTTTTCTTCAGTCAGTTTCTCTTTCCTTTCTGGAACAAATATCACACTCCTTCCCTACTGGCCTGCAGGGTGTTTACACCCAGACCCCCTTCCAAGAAGAGCTTGCCCAGCCCCAGGAAGTGGGTCAGCAGACTGACTCCCACTGGTAGCTCCTTTTTCAGAGTCTGCTTCAGCAGCCGGGGCTGCCACCACACTGAGGTGCTCCCCAGGGTGACCCGCATCCAGTGACTGAGTGAGGCAGAGGTACAAAGGCAGAGCCACTGCAGCCTCCTGTGAGACACAGAGGGCTCTGCTCTCCCCGGAGCTCCCAGCCTGGCTAGCTGACCGTTTGTTGGGCTTGTGCCACAGGTGAGGTTGTTCTAACCCTTCCTGCTTCCTCCTCCTTTATTTCACAGACATCAATCTCTTATGAATACCCCTTTAAAAATGTTTTAAAAACTTTATTGAGATATAATTTACATGCCATACCATTCACCCCTCTCGAAATGTTCAACTCAGTGTTGAACAGTTTTTTTACAAAGTTGTGCAACCATCACCACTATTTAATTCCAGAAGGTCATGACCCCCAAAGACACTCCATGCCTATTAGTATCAGCTCCCTGTTAACACCTCCCCCAGCCTCTGGCAACTGTTAATGTAGTTTCTGTCTCTATCGATTTGACTATTCTGGAAGTTTCATATGAATGGACCATACAATATGTGGCCTTTGGTGGCTGGCTTCTTTTACAAAATATAATGGTTTCAAGGTTTATCCTTGTTGAGACATGCATTGGTACTTTATTTATTTTCATGGATGAATACTATTCCAAAATGCAGTATATAGATATATTTTGTTTATCCATTCATCAGTTGATGTACATTTGGGTTGTTCTAATAAACATCTTGCACCCCAAACTTCATCTCAGCATCTACTTCTTGAGAGTCCAGCCTGAAAACTACCCATGCTTAGAACCCTAGAATCCCAACTTCTATACCAGTGAGGGTTATCAAGAAATTCTTCCGGTAAAGGTGGTTCTACCCAAAGAGCAATTCTCGCACCAGATGCCAAGATAACAAAAAGCTCTCTGTCTTACTACCATAAGTACTGTAGGCCAACCTGTTGGCTACTTGGTCTTACGGTAGGCTTGTTTGGGGGAAGAGACTTAGTGTAATTGAAATATTGTTTAAAAAGAAGACAGAAGGATCAGGTAAGAGGCAAGGCAAGAGAGACCAATAGTATGAGGCCATATTGTGAATGGCATTTATGGCATAATGAGATATTTAGACCCTTTCCGTTGGGAGGTGGAGACTCATGGAAGGCAGGTGAGGTGTGATTAGTTGTGCTTTCACTTCATTTGTGGATTCCAAATGGTGGGCAACACTTTTATTTGTAAATATTGTGAGTTGGCTCAGGGAAGACACTATAAATGGAGAGATAAACTGTAGGTTGAAGAAGGGGTTAAAATGAAATCAGCAGTGGGGAACATGCAAATGAGACTCTAGGAAAGGTGGAAAGGAAACATGGAAAAAGAGGCAATGTGTTATATTGGAAAGAATATGGTCTCAGGGCATGATACACCTGGGTTTCATTCCTCTCATCCTTTAGCAGCTTCCTGACTTTAGGCAGATTACCTAACCTCTCCTCATCTTTAAAAGAAGGCGAATAATCCTTATCTCTTAGCATGGTGTTGTGACTGAAGTGACAACCTATATAAGGTGACCAGTGCTTCTTAGGTCACTACCCCTGTTCCTGTAACCAGGGCAGCAGGTCTGAGAGGCAGAACGCAGGATGGAGATCCAGAGTTGCATCATCAGATAATAAGGTCTGAGGTCAAGAGTGGTCAGGGGAAGCTGGGGACCAAGGAGCAGGAATTGGGAAGGAAATGAGGCCAAGAACCCATGCAATCCCTGGGCTGAGCCCAGGCAGAAGCACTTGTGCCTGGATAATATTTTTCTGGACCTTTGTCGTTTTTGAAGTTCAGAACAACTTCTCCCTGACCCACTAACTCAGGCCTCTCTGCAGCTTCAAACAGTGGGCACTGGGGTTTGTTTGGGTGGTGGAGTCTGACAAAGCTCACACTTTCAGACTTCTTACAGCTGGATGAAGTGAAGCCAAAGGGTTTTTTTTCCCACAGGTGTACCTGACTAGTGCTAAAAAGTATACCAGCTTCCTTTCTTGCTTTCCTTTTATTTTTTAAAATTCCCTTTCACCAACCCATGTCTTAATTTTGAAAAACAGTTATTTTGCATCTTCACATTTTTAGTCCCAAGTGATATGTGGTTGAGACCCATGACCGCTGAGGCTCCTTGCCATCCCATGGTGCTGGGACTGAAATTCAAGTGGAGTTTGGCAGCTCTTTTCTGAGTCATCTTGGACACCTGCCATTTGAGAAGTTCATCTCATCCCTCTCATAGTCGACCACTTATCAGGTATTTGGAGGTGCTGCCAGCCTCTAAAAATAATGAAACAGTACTGAAAACTGTGTATTTGACCTCTTGGAGAATCACTCGTCTCGTGTACCGACACTGCCTGCCTCCAGAAATTTGAAAATGGTACAAAATCTGAGTGTGTGACCTGTTGAAGATCACTCACTGGCACCCCCACATTGAAGAGTGCAAAGATAATGAGGTATGTAATAAGGAACCTGAGGCCTTACAAAAACCTCAAAACTTTGATACTTTACAAAAATTTTCTTTGATACTTACCAGAATTTGTGGGTAGTTGGTTGTCCTATGGTCATTTATTTGGCCAGCATTTGAACAGTGCCTTCTCATACTTAGAAACTTATGAAGTTACAAATTTTTTGTGGATCAAAGATGTTAAAATAGCATTGATTTCACATGGTCTGATTTGACTTTTGATGGGAGATGTGACAGGAGCTGGAGAAGCAAGGTGGACACAAATAGTTGGAACCCAAGTTATGGTATAGGGGTTCTATCATAGATGTGTAGACAGGGTGGCATGTGGTTTACCCTGAAGAGGGAGGGACTAAAGAAAAGGCATTTTAGAGAGGACTCCCGGGCTCCAGTGTATGGAATAAGAGACTTTTTTGGTGAAGGTCTCAAAACTAACCAGCCATTCTAGGAATACACAGTGTGGTATGGCTTTGTACTTTGCCAATTTAGCTTAAGGTCTAACTGCTATAGTAAATTCTTTATTCTTTATCACTCACCATGATTCTGCTACTTTAATTATCCCCTGGCCAATGCACACAGTAAATCTCAGTTCAGCCTGTGATGATGACGTTAAGTAGCAAAGAATAATGTATTTTCAAATGCCACCATCTATGAAGACGGTCTTTTGGGTTGACTTGGAAACTGGCTGCCTCACCCCAGCTCCCCACTCAGCAAGTCATGTCTCCAACTCCCATATTATGACAAAGGCAATTGTTTAATTCAAGGCAGTACCTTCTAGGAACTCCTGGTAGGATCTAGGTGCTGTTCTAAGGGCTTTGCATGCCTCAATGCATGGAATCCTTACAACCTATGTGATTGGTCCAAGGGTTATCCCTATTGTGTGGTTTAGGAAACCAAGGCACAAAATTGTTAAGTAACCATGTTATATCTCAGAATGAGAGATATTTCTCCAGACTTCTCTTTCTGCTAACTTTTCATTTTGAAATAGAGGTGTTTGACATGCATCTGTTTAACTGCTGGCTATCTCATGTGTGTTTTCCCACCAGATTTGAGTTCTCTAAGCCACAGGCACAGGGCTCTGACTCTTTCAAATCTCCCTAGGGAGAAGAGCTTGAACCTGAATGCAGCCCTGGGAGAGGGTTTTTTTGGGCCTGCTTCCCCCCTTTCCACTAGCACTGTGGTAGTCCATCTGTTGCCAGAGTAGGCCAGGAGGAAGGTGGGACTCTAGCTTTCAGAAAATAGTTGACTGAGCCTTGAGAGAGAGCAGGGAAGATACAGAGCTAGTATTGCCATCAAAGATGTTCCAGGGCTTCCACAGTCTTTCCCCAACCTGTCTTTGCCAGGTTTATTCCCAGCTGCCACCCCAGAAACAATAAGTGACTCCTGTGAATGAACTCACTGCCATCTTCTGTTCCTTGGTGCCCTCTGCTCCCTCACTCTGCCAACTCACTTCTAATGACTTCAAGACTCAAGTAAATGTCACCCTCTGAGATATATTCCTCTAGGCTAGTGCACCTCAGACTTTAAAGTGCACGGAGCCCCTCTGCAAGGCCCTCTCACTGGAAGACCTTGCTAAACTGCAGACTTTAATTCAGTACGTCTGAGGTAGGCCTTGAGACTCTGCTTTTATTGTATAATAAGTTCCTGGGGGCTGTAGATGCTGTTGGTTTATGAACCACACATTGAGTAGTAAGGCTTCAGATCTCATATTTCCTTTAGTCCTTTTGGAAACTTAGGCTGTGAAAGCTATTTTGAGGGAAATGATGTTTTACACCAACTCAAGCTAATTCAGGATTCAGCAATTTATGAATTCTTTTGGTAAATATGTAGGGTGACCAAGGCCCTGGTTTGCCTGGCAGTTTGGGCTACTCTGGGACATGGGACTTTAAGTGTTAGAACCAGGAAAGTTCTGAGTTGGTCTTCCTACCTCTGGTGGTTACAGCTGGGTGCTGGCTATGTATCCCCTTCCTTACAACCTTCACACCAGCAGAGGTGAGGTTGTAGACAAAATTTTGTTGAAGTTACAAATGTTTGCTAGCTTGTAGATACAAGAACAATCCTTCAATTGTCTCTTTGGGCTTTTGGGAAGACCCATTCACTGCTTTAGGCACTGCAACTAGCATTACCATGATAGGTTCTTTCTAAAGGAAACTTAAGGTTATTAAGGAGATGACCCAGCTAACCTTCCAGTAGGTTCAAGTGACAGACAGCCTCTGTGGAGAGAGACAAAGGAGCAAGGAAACACTAGGTCTCAGGCACTGCCTCCAAGGTGTTAAGAGTGCTGTTGAATTTTTCTACTTCATTCAAGTGCTAGCATGCATGGGTAGGTATGGTTCTGGAGCCTGTGAGAGGACCTGGACTTAGGTTCACCCAGGAAATCAGTCGGCTCTGTGACCTCCTCAGACTTCATTAGATTCAGGTTTTATTGGTCTTTGTGATATGAGGATGGGTGGGAGGTCACCTCAAGAAGTGACCACTACTCAAAGATATCTTACTCCACATGCAAAATATCCCCGATGCAATCCCCTTGTTCTGTTTAACACCAGGAAGAAAGCTGTCTGGAATTAATTTCTTTGTGCTCTAGGGAGCACACAAAACAAGATGCCTCCTGGGCTTCAGAGAAATTAAATCATGTGGGGCTCTGGGACTGCACTGGAACAGCTGAAGGTTTTTCCTAGGGAGGAAGGAGGATCTCTTTCTGATGAGCCTCAGTTAAAAAGAATTTAAAAAAAAAACAACTTCTATTGGTTTTCCTGGAAGAAAGGCAAACAAAGCAAGAGTTTCCTCGCTTCTAGGCCTTTCAGAAGGAACCAGCTGGGGGATGAGAGGCTGGACTGCTGGGATGGAGGTTCTGTGAACCGGTTTTTCAGAGCAAGTGTTAGCATTAGCGGAGCTCTTATCATCCTCCCTGTGGGTCTGTATTCCGACCTCTGACATCATTTCAGCAAAACAACTTCACCTTTCACCTACTTTCTGTGTTTTCCTGCTGTTTGGTTCGTGCTTTGTGTGCACACATGAGCGACTCTTGGTGATTTTGTTTGTTTATACCATTTCTTCCTCAACAAAGAGAGAGAATAGAAATCCTCAGTGAGGCTGTGGGAGTTAGGAAACCAAGAGACCAGCAGGGTGTGACGATCTCTTTTGGAAGGGAGCCCAAGGATGTTCAGATTCTGGCCCAATCTTAAAGACCCTTCAGGTCCTGGCTGAAGAAACTGAGACTTGGAAAGGAGAAATGGCTTGTTTGAGGCCAATAAATAAGCGATTAGATTTGAAAGAAGGGTTTTTTTTTTAATGCTGTCAGTTGAAACTCATGGAGTCTTAACAATTCCATATCCACATATACTCAAGCAGATGCTTGAATTCTGGTCTCTATGTTTTTGTGAGTGGCCATATGGCTACCCCTGACCTCTGCTGACCTCACCTGGTGATGGGGCACTCACCACTGTCCCAGAAAGTGGGGCTTCAGTCAGTGATCTCCATTTCCTTGGGTGTGTGGTATTTTAACCAGCACTGTGTTCTGAACTCTCTCTTTCTGAATATATTAGTTTCAATGAGAATTACATACATGTTGATCAATTTTTGTTGAGAAGGTATTTCCTAGAGAGAACTTCATTTAACTTTGATCATTTATTTGTGGGATACCAAAGGACCTTTACTTTTTACAAGGGATGGGGCCTTGTCTCCACATAACCTCCTTATTTGGGGCAAAATGTCTCATACCTCTGTTTTTAGAAAAATTATGATATGAGCTATGGAATAAAATTCTTAAAATATTTGTAAATTTATATTTTTTGTAAATTAAATATTTAAAATAGAGGAATTTACTACTCAAAGTAACCAGTGGAAAATATATTGTTAAGTGAGAAGATCCATACTTATATAACACAAATCAATTTTTTTATTCATATGTATCTTATAAATTATTTTGGCAAGATGTATATAAATGCCTTAATGATGCTTATTTTATGTGTGAAGTTTTGGGAGAACTTTCATTATTTTATTTTTCTAGTTTGTATTTTCTAAATTTCTATATTGAACAGCATCCCAACAAAAAGTCTCAAAATCATCGATGATGAATCCTTTAATAAAGAACACTATCTAAAGATGGTATTCTATCTTTATCTTTTTTTGTAAACTAGGGAGCTTCTCCGTCATCCTCTGTGAGAAATATAATTTTTCTCCCTTCTTTGTTCAAAAAATCTACCACAATACCTGCCTACATATCAAGGCTAAACTCCTCTGCCTTATTATTAAAGACACTGTGTAATCTGACTTCATGTTATCTCTCAGATTTACCACCTTATGCTAGTGCTTTTCTGTTAATGCTCATCTTAGGCTCATTTCTTGTCTGCAGTCCTCTCCTTCACAGTCGCTTTTCTGCTTCAGGTGTCTTTGCTTATTTTTTCTCCAGATTGCAATATTCTTTCTAGCTCTCCATATTCAAGGCCATTTGTTCTGCAAGATCCCACACTTTTTTTCAGACTTCCCATGGCAGTTCTAGTCTGTAATGTACCATTTAAGGTTTACTGATTGTGTGTGCTTACCTGGCTTGGCCCTGGAGGCTGAGTGGCAGCGGCAAATTTAGGTTGCTAGCTGGAGGGTTTGAATACTTGGAAGACATGCTAAAAGGGAAGAAGTGGCCAGGAATAAAGCATTGATCCAGAGAAACAGACCAGGCAGACATTAATTAGACTGGCTGAGCAAATGAATGACTAGAGAGATGCTAGAATAAAAGGAGGGGCAGTGAGGTGTGGATAAAGAGGGAAGGTGATGGCTGCCTTTGTCCTCTCATGATGGATGAGGCGTGGTCTGCCTGGGATGGGGACTGATTGCCACTGCACACTGTCGCTCTCTTTAAGAGAGGACAGCAAGAAATTATACAGGGGCTTTTTGGAGAACTCTACTTTTTCCATGCTACCATATAGTCAGTGCCATGAGAAGTGCAGGTGATTCAGACACCGTTTAGAACCAAGTAGAAGAAACTCAGACTGG